AAACGTTCACCATAATTTTACGCGGACGTCATCAAGTCTGTCCTTGAGAAAGAGAGACGATTCGATTTAGAATATAAATAATTTGTTTTTATTTTTTATTTTGTACATAGTTTTTTTATGGAAGCACGCTTCAAGATATAGCCATCTTGTCTGTGACAGTTCTGGTGTACAAGTGTTTCCTAACGTCGAGTAACAAATTTTTTTTTTAAATGTTATCCCCACACTAGGATTTTCTCCTGTGTCGTGGAGGCAGTTTAGAAACATAAATTGCACAAGGACAAACATCCAGACCCGGAACAATTATTTGTATGCTATACAAATACTTTTTCCGTGCGAGATTCGAACCCGCGGCCCCCAGCGCAACAACTCATTTCTAAGCCACTGCCCCACGGAGCCGTCTATAATAAAATAAGGTCGAAACGTTAGGAATTAAAATAAATGAAACGCGACAAAATCCGTAAAATTACCTAGTATCACCATTAAATTACTTGTTACATGTTTTTCATTAATAGATCATATGCACAGGCGTATTACACAAAATTGCGCCAATTTTATATAACAAAACTGTTTTCAAATCATTATTTAAAATATTAAAAAAAGAGAAGCAATTCACCGGTCGACAAGTTTCCGCCTTTCTCATTTTCAGTTTTCACTTCATTCATTCATCATTCTTATTACGATTCGCCAATCACGGCATGATGATCATATCTAAATATAAGATTCATGTCATACTAGTAACCTATGCCGTTAGTTGTTGGGAACACGATTACACTATGCCCGAAGATATTGACGAGTATTATGGAGTGTAGAGTAGAAGGAGGACCATCTCTGTATATGAAAAGTCTCCCTAAAAACGCGTCCAATAAGGGTAGCGCTGCAGTAGCATAGGATAAATTAAAAAAAAGCGCCAAAATTCATTACAATAAGATGGAGAAATAAACAAGGATTGACCAATCCGCTTGGTTTTGTACTACGTAAATAGTTGAGGTTTTGTATACTGGCATTTTACTAACTACTCTAGTCATGAAATTTTTTAAATATTTTAATTCAGTTGACTTCACTCCGTCTACAACAGCTATATTCATATCGTAGTTTTTCAGACGCCAGCTCTATTGTGGTAGGTTTTGGAACCTCTATTTTCAGTATATATTGGGACACTTTTTCAACTTTCGCACCTTATAAGATGGTTCTCCTTCTACTCTACACTCCCTAACGAGTATGTTTATTTAGGAAAATTATCCATCAAATTATGTTCGACCCAGTGGTCGATTAACGGATAAAATCGGGAAATTACGACACATCTTCTCGTCCAACATTCACCTAAATTGCTATTTAGCGTTTGCAGTTTTTATTTTTATTTTTTATTAATCATTGCAAAAGCATAAATAAAATAGAATCTATAAACCGCATAGGATTGTAAGTAATGCTATCATCTACATCGATATTTTCATAAGGTATGTAATTTAAAATTCAAATAAATACCGTTGATAGAAATAATTAACGCGCTTGACCTTTCGTGACTAATAACGTCGTCCTTGCCATTTCGAAACTGTTCGTAGCCGTGCTTACTGCTCACACTCGATAACGCGTGCTCTTTAGTTTGCTTATAAATACTCTAAAGTTTAGTACACTTTTAAACTATCTCTCCTGTCCTAACGTTTACACACATTTGTCAGCAATGTACGCGCTGCATAAAATTCGTTGTATGAAATCATATGACTCCAGGCATATTTCACCCGCACCGTAGACGCTGTATTTAATAAAATGCGGTAGGGTATCCGATTCCGAATATTGAAGGAGGCATGCTCATGACGTCATATAATGCGGGGCGTTGGACGCGTGCTGATACTCAGTGTTGCCTAATATTACCAACTTAGTGGATTTTCCATTAAAACTGGTGGTTTCAACTATCCTTCCAATGGAGAAATATTATTTACAGTGGCTAGTGTTTTTCTAGTGGTTTATTAGTATAAGGTTTCAATTAGTGACAAGATGACCACTCCGAGATTAACCCACTTACACGTTTCGAAATATATTATTACTTCATTTCAGGACTTTTACTGTGTAGGCAATAATGAGTCGTCAGACGTCCATTAAATGCAAATATTTGAAAAATCGTTCATCATAATCTAACAATTCGTTATGTAACATATAACAATCTCCATACAACTGCCTTTTTAAATTATTATTGTAAATCGAAAATCTTCTCTGCCTTCGAATTTTATTTTCTTCTTCCTCTGGCAATAATTAAGCTATTACAAGAATTTTTCTATAGCGATTCCGAGCGATCAATGTCACTATATCGTTTCACATCAGTGGTTAAAAAACCGCAAAAGTTGTTGGCAACACTAAAGATTTGCGTACAGCGCGTACGTGCTAACTGCTAATGTGCAAGGCCATCAGTCGTAGATAGAGGATTAAGATACTATGTCTATGCCATCAGTAAATGCTAGGGATGGGCAAATGCAAAAAAGTATCGATATTTTTAAACAGTATCGATTTATATCAAGTGATGAAATCGATATTTTTTAACAATTAATACAACAATTTAAAATACTTTATAATAACTATCCATTAAAAATCAATATTTTGTCATTAAATTATCGATATTTTTAACCCAAGCCTCGTAAATGCGTCGCGTACATACATATTATAGGTCATAGGTCAATAGGTCATAGATAAATAAATATGCATAAATATGTATGGTTGCTAGCAGTGGGTAGTAGCGGCCTTTTTGTGTAACGAAACGAAACTGTCTATGGAATATCAATAGCGACTTTTGAAACACTATTTTAATAGCGGCTTTAATAGGATGTTTCACGACGTATTTAACTGAAAAATGGCGAATGAAACGATAGGCGTTTCACGAGAAAGCTTGATTATCTTGTTTCGTGTTCACGTTTTGTTACGATTACTATTATCGAGATATTAGTGTTAAGAAGATTTATATTGCAATGAAATTTCCTTCATGCTTAATCCCGACATAAGACTGGCAGATGACAAGTTAATTAAATAACAATTAATATTTTAATTAAATATCAAATAAAATTAGATATATATATATATATATATATATATATATATATATATATATATATATATATATATATATATCTATATATATATATATATATATATATATATATATACTATTGTATTCTCTTCATAACTTACTACAAATATTATTATTCAATATATTATTACACAAAACAAATTCTACTGTATTAGCAACACGACTTAAAACAAACCGTGTCATTCATTAAACACGAAACGAATTTAGACTGGGTCAAGGCCACGTACATTCAAGAATTCCTTAGAGTAATTACATACATACGTAAGCAATTCGAAAATATTTTTTTATTTAAAAACTTTTCTCATTTCTAATATCACTTTTATCCGAAGGTAATATTCATAGGTCAAATGCAAAAGCAATGTGTGGCGGCGCTGTCGTTGCGCCACAAGCAAAAACACATCGAAGCCTAAATCGCGCTAAGAAAGTTCCGAAGTTAAAGTAGTATATATAGAATAGCTCCGAACTACCACTCAGAACGTTGGCCGCTCCCCGTTCAGAACACCTTTCCCAGCGGGAGATCTCCTCTTTTCCTTCCACCCGCCAAAGTGGTGACCACCTGACATGATTTGAACACGCAACCAACAACCTTCGGAAATTACAACTTCCAAAACCTTCGTCAACATCCTCAAGTACCCCATTCATTCGCTCCCGAGCAGACATTGTCTGCAGTCTTCTTATTCTGAAAGGCATCTAGCTTTACAAAGGTTCATCGCAGCATTGGAATAATAATGCTTCCTGTTCCTTCAAGCTACTCTCTGCGCTACAGTGTTCGGCACGGCTCTGAGCCTTACTGCTCGCCTCTGATTCACGGCACTCTTGCAGATTACTTGCCTTCTTCTCGACTCACCGCAGACTACAAGGCAATCCCCGGCACTTGCTTCGGCTCATCGTTCTCACCGGCATCACTTGCAAGTGCGTAGTACGGCATACATTACACACCGGCATATCGTTCGCACCGGCGTCACTTGCCCTTACGCACACAGCATGTATTCCCCACCGGCATTAAGGACGTACTGGCAATCGGACTGCAATGACGACCTCCAGTCTGAGCAGGAGGGTGATGTGGCGGCGCTGTCGTTGCGCCACAAGCAAAAAGACATCAAAGCCTAAATCGCGCTAACAAAGTTCCGAAGTTAAAGCAGTATAATATATAGAATAGCTCCGAACTACCACTCGGAGCGTTGACCGCTCCCCGGGCAGAACACCTTGCTCGGTGGGAGATCTCCCCTTTTCTTTCCATCGGCTACAAATGTATGTGTAGGTGGGTGTGAAAGAGACAAAACGTGTCACCCGCGCTCACTCGACATTCGATGACCGGTAGTACTTTACTACTTTAACAGCCGAAGCCGTTGCCGATGCGACGCCAAAATAGCCGAATAAACGATTCGTTCTGGTCGCCCTTTCGGGAAACGTGAATCGTGTTACTGAGTACTGTAATAAATAGTTTCGTTGGACTGCAATAACTCGTTACCCGCTATTGTATGAATAGATAGTTTCAATAACTCCTGATGGTTGCATACGGCGCGTACGGTTCTGTTACCTGTTTAACTTTAGATTTTGAAATGCTTCAAACAAAAACAAACGTTCATCTATACTTAAAGAATTAAGGAAATAAATATAAATAACATAAGGGTTTTATTTGTAAGCTGTGGAATTCTAAAAAGATTAATAAATAATAATTTACTTAGATTATAGCGTATATCATACTTTTATTACGTGAAAAGAAACGTAGCGTATATGGCTGCGGGATTTCTTGTTTATTTGACGTCTTTTCGTACATACCTATTCCATTAAATCAGGAGGGTTGTTGATTTATCGTCAAAATTAATTTTAATTGCGGGAATCACCCGGCATATAATCACTTAATAAAGTGTAAATAAAAGAAGTCAATCTGGAAGTGTTACAAGTAACTCGTGAGGACGCCAGTATGACGTCCGTGGCCAGAAGACGAGAACAGGATGATTCTGGCGAATTTTCCGATGCATCGCAGGATATCGACCAGAGCAACTCTGCAAATGTGAGTTGGATGATTGGTTACACAGCGCTTAGAAAGAAGACTGGACTTTCATGTTGTCGCTCAAAGAATCGCGGCCGTGCACTTTCTCCCGCGCATCGCGTGCCGGAATTTACATTTCTTTTTGTCTAATTGAGGTCACAAATTCGGCACCACTCACCTAGCTGTCGCTGCTGTGTTTAGACTTTAATTTATGTCCGTCAAGTTTATTTTAATAATTTTAGTGCCTAATAATGCAACTGCTAAAAGTCGCTGACCCTTTGCAGGACGGCGTGCAGAACGAGTCTGATTATGATTCTGCGGCTAGTGAATCAGAACATTCGGACAGAGATCCCGAAAGCCAGGTACGTAATTGTTTATTTTGTTTTGTCAGTCTTTCGCTTTCCAAAATATAGAATACAAAAAAGGTCAATGTAACTTGAGTTATAATTACCAGAATTATTTCTGTGAAATTAGAAATAAACAAGAAACTACTCTGAGCTTTCAAATATATTATGATTGTTGTTTAATTTATATGTGACAAGAGTTATATTTATTTCATATGAAATAACTGTTAAATGTGCTAATGAACATTGTTCTTAGGATTCATGTAGTATCACAATGACATATTTGATTTATTTTTACCCAACTACTCAGAAAGTAATATGAGGGTTACATTTTTTTAGTTGTATTTTAGTTGGACCTTTGTAAGTTTTAATGTTTATATGAATTTTAGAAAAAATAATATTATGGTACTTCCTTGCAGAGTATTCTGACAAGTGAGTCAATTTATTGGTTACCAATTCATTACTCCAGTTAGGTTTTCTGATTGTTAAGTATATTTTCATCGAACTTCAAAAAGGCGGCTTACAATTTGGTACTGTATTTTTTTACTTCTTATTCTCAATTTCAATGTAGTTTTTTCTATAGGATAAGGGTGACAAGCAAGCACATAATCCACCTGATGGTTGTGTGTGTTTGTTGAGGCCCATAGACATCTATGTCTATCCTCATTTGTGAATCAAAATGTAGATGCATTATCAGCTGTGAGGACTAAGATGGAATGTCTCTTTTCCAGTAAAAAGGGTCACCAGTTCTCTACACTCACCATACGAAACACAGCAGCATTAAGCTGTTATTTAATACTTTTATTCTGTGAGAGTGTGGTCTTTCCCCAGTCGAGCCAACCCATTATGAGAGTGCTATAACTATACAATTAATATAATTGTAGCATGGCTCTACCACATTTTGAGAATAGGTGGTCAAAAGTTCTGAAAAATGATACAAAGCTTTATAAAGTAAACATCTCTTTAATTAGACTTAAGAGATATGAAATCCCAAAGACCTTATTGATCCATAAAAATATTCTATATTTTACTTATTTTATTACATATGTTACTTATAATATTTAATTACTATTCATTAAATTCTGAATAAAGTCAATAGTATTTTCATACTACTAAAACTAACTAAATATTTTTAACAATTATTTCTCAACTTGATAAAGTTCTGCAAAATAATATTTATTAAAAGAAAAATGCACTTTACAATCACAAAGTGAAATTTTTAGTGAAAGTATTGTGTAATCTAATACAATATCATTTGGTTTTATTGGTGTTAGACAGCTAAAAAGAAAATTATTTTAGCTTCCACCAAAAAGTAGGTCGCTATGCCTTTTTAGCTTTCTTTACATTTGCTTTGTGACGTTAAACTATACAAGAGGTAATATTAATAATTTTGTACAACCGACTTCAATATAAATAAAATGAGAACATTGATGATTATTAAGGATAACTCAAAAACTATTGCTCAGATCTTGATCAAATTTATATGGAACCGTTTGAGAAGCATCAGCTTTCAAATAAAAAATAACCATCAACTTCGGTTCACCTAAAAAAAGTGATAGTAACACATAAAAAATACAGTTGAATTTAGAACCTCCTCCTTTATTTTAAAGTCGGTTGAAAACAAAAGAACTTGCTTTATTATTAATTCCTTTACCATTACTGTTACAGCCTATTAAAGTACACTGCTGAATATAGGTCCCATAAACTTTGCCATAGTTTTGGTAGACAGGTTGGCAACTGCAGTTTTTTTTATTATTCTGAGTAGTTACCAGGAAGATGTTACTCCTATCTCCTGTATCAGTTTCCCTCTATCGCCTCTTAAGACACCATGGGGATGATATGGGATAGTGGATATTCTTACACTGCTAATACACATGGATTCCCTTATTTGGAAGTAATTCCTTTTTAAGAAATATTTTGATCGGTCATTAAATTGGCTAAATCTATTACTACTTCTTCGAAATTTACGTAAAATGTGGAATGATTTCTTATATTTACGTGAACACATTTAAATAGAACTAGTTTTTACGGATTTTATATATTAACTTATTTTATATTCCCGATGTTTCGAGCACTTTACAGCACCACGGGGGGGGGGGGGCAGGTGTATGACGTCTCAATGTAATAGTTAACCATGGCTACCTCCAGATTAAAATTATTAATTTTTGTTTCGATCTACATAGTATAAACTTACAGTATCTTGAAGTCTTGCAGTTGTATACTTGGGTTGAGATTTAATTTTATTAATTATTGGATCCCAAGCAAATAGTAGCACCCAACCATGTTCTGTATTGAAATTGGGTTGTTTTTTTCCTCACGAATCATCCTTGGAAGGAATTGGTGTTCTTTAGCGAGGATTTGTGGTCTATCAAATCTAATGTAGTGACGTGGGCGATCCTGTACGTGTTTGCAGACTGAAGACTTCCTGGAGTGTTGATTCTTCACATCAGCTGTGTATTCTTTAATGCAGGTTTCTATTGATCTTTTAGTGTGTTCTATATAAGAGAAACCACATTCACAATCAAGCTTGTACACTCCTGCTTCTTGCAGAGGGACATTAAAATTGACTGATGGTAAAAACTGACTAATCTTCTTTGGCGGCTTGAAGTATGTTTTAATGGAAGCACACTTTAAGATGTAACCAATCTTATCCAGCTTCACTCGTTCACTGTGATATAGGCGTGGGACCCAAAGCTTGTTGTCGTGCAAAACTTGCTTGATGTGTTGGAGCTCGCTGCCAGGTGTTTACTGTCACAGATCCCTCGTGCTCTCTGAAACAAAGTTTCAACCACGGTAGCTAACTGTGAAGTATGGTCGTGAGAACCACCATTTAAATATCTATCTGTATGGGTCTTTTTTCTATACACGGTGTGGTTTTCTATGGTCAAGGTGTTATCAGGATTCCAAATTACTAATACATCTAGAAAAGCTAAAGAATTGTTTGCCTCTAATTCCATTGTGAACAGAATTTTAGAATTTATGGAGTTAAGATAGTCTAAAAATGCAGTTACTATATCTAAAGGTATAATTTTTAAACAGTGGTAGAGCCACGCGGCAGCTTTTGCTGTCGCACGGATGGGCACGGACTGCGATAAAATCTGTAAAAACTAGTTTTAAATAAATATAGAATGGTTACAAATGGTGGCCATAGTACTAAGAAATGCTTGTTGGAAGTATAGGAATTGAAAAATAAGTTAATAAACATTAAGTTTTAATTAATAAATGCATTGATATATATTGAAGTAGAAGATATTCTATGGCTGATCATTATATAATCAAAAACTGGACTATGTCAACTACACATACAAAGTTATACCGAATAAACAACAGAAAAAAGACACACTATGATTGTAATGCTCTATCCCGCTTCCACATGAGCAGTCTATTTTATTTCATAAATATTTGTTTTCGAAATTGAGAAAACAAGGTTTTATATGATAAAGTGATTCCAAGGGACTTTTTGTTTCATCGGAATGATTGGTATGTTTGTAAAATGAGGAGAAAGGCATTTTAAATAACTACTTAATGAATTCTAAGTACTTATCTTAAAAGGGCTTTAGATTAATTACTCCTTAATATTGAAATGGGATGGGGGTTGGTGGACGTAAGTGGTAAACCACCCTGCCGCCCCCCCCTTTGGAAAAAATAGATTTTGTAAAAAAAATGGAGATTGTATAATCTAGTGCCAATTTAAATCATTTTAAAACTGAGACACTTTTTACTGGAAATGAGGCATTCCATCTCATTCTTAAGAGTCAATTTTTTCTAAAACAGAAGTGAGAGAGGGTTACTGGGCAGCTTCTGCCGCAACTCGCCCTCAAAATGAAAAATCATATAGTTTTGATCATGAGTGCCACCAGGATTACTTTCAGTGAGGTGCATCGACACATTATACTATTAACTAATATAAAATATAGAATTATACATGTATATTATGTAGGCAAATGTAATGACAAATTCAAATCGCGCATGTATTTGATTGAATATATTTAGCTCATCAAAAACACACTTAATCGTGTTCACAGGAAAGAGTAGAAGAGGGTAGAGGTTTTCGGTTTTTCTATGTATTCTTTCATAACAGGGGGTGCAAGTGCACCTCCTTGCAACCTGCTGCCGGTGCTCATGTTTTTGAGCAAATCTGCATTAAAACAATTAGTTAAAGACCAAACCTGCTTTTAGAAAAAACTAGTTTAGCCTAGGATAAACTAATTTGTATTCAAGCCCCGCTGGAATATTCACCACAACCTACTGTCCCTAAAATTACTTTTCTCATCAAGTTAGTTTGTTCTAAAATCGATTGTCAATAAATATTTTGGCAAATATTTAACACATTTATTAAATACTTCTTTATTAAATACTTCTGGTCAAAAGTGATTTTAAGTACCAGTCTTGGTCACAACTAATTATTCCTTAACAGGTTTAGTTAACAAGTGGTATAATTAAAAGTTATGTACAAAACTTCAATATAAATTATTAAGGATAACTCAAAAATATTGGTCAGACCTTGGTAAAATTTATATGGGACCACATGAGAAGCACCAGCTTTGAAATAAAAAAAGAATCATCAAAATCGATTCATCTAAAAAAGAGTTATGAGATAACACGCATAAATAAAAACTTATAGTCGAATTGAGTACCTCATCGTTTTTGAAGTTGATAGAAAATAGCTTTTACTGTTTTCTTTGGTCATAATTATTTTTGACCGAGAAATATTTTAAACTGTAACTACTACTCTGCTAATACAATATTTGTTATTTTTATATTTTATTGCATATTATAACTTGGGACACGGGATAAAGGTAGACCCAATTCCATACGGTGGTCATTAGTTTTTATTGTTTGACATGTGCAATACATGTTTTATTTTTATATAATTTTATAATTACTAAAACTTTTTTCAGGAGTCTGAGCGCAGAGTTGACGATGATGAGGACAGAAGCAACCCTCAGTACATCCCCAAGAGAGGCACTTTCTATGAACACGACGATCGTACTGCTGCAAGGTAATATTACTATAGTAAAATTATTTTATCTATGCAGTTGGGGTCATAAATCATAGCTCGGCCTCAGCCCGGTTAGGGCGGTGAGCATGTTGCGCGGGCGCAACGCCATTATCGATCAGAACAAATTTAATTATAGATATAAGTTATTATCTTTATATTTCTACTAGCTGTGCCCCGCGGTTTCACCCGCGTATATCACGCATCTGCGCCTTGCGACATGCGAACTTCGAGAGAGACATCACGACGGACGGTTGCTGAATTAACAAAGATTTAAAAAGTGAAATATGTTACTAAAATTACATAGTTAACGTAATTGGTGGTTATGCATGATACAGGTACTGATACGAATAATGTCTAGGCCACATTATTCGTATCAGTACGTACTCGTATTAGTAGTATTTGTACCGGCGTTACTATTTCACATTTTAACATGAAAAAGTAGTTATTGTGACATAACTGTAATAGTTAAACATATGGTATCGCAGACTTTTTTGTAGAGATTAATATCCTCTATAAAAGTGAAGTACATTACTTTGCTCTATTATCAATAGTTTCCGAAGCGTACGCGATATAAGGATTCTTTTTGGATTTTTTTAACACCTTGGGTTACATTAACGAAGTTTTCATACGGATCCCTAACTTTCTTGAAAATATTACATAGCCTATATTCATCAGGGATAATGTAGGATTCTAATGGTGAAAGAATTTTTCAAATCGGTCCAGTAGTTTCGGAGCCTATTCAATTCAAACAAACAAATCTTTCCTCTTTATATTAGTAGTGTAGATGTAGAAGTGTAGATGTAGATGTAGAAGTGTAGATTCATGATACAGGTACTGATACGAATAATGTCTAGGCCACATTATTCGTATCAGTACGTACTCGTATTAGTAGTATTTGTACCGGCGTAATATTTCACATTTTAACATGAAAAATTAGTTATTGTGACATAACTGTAATAGTTAAACATATGGTATCGCAGACTTTTTTGTAGAGATTAATATCCTCTATAAAAGTGAAGTACATTACTTTGCTCTATTATCAATAGTTTCCGAAGCGTACGCGATATAAGTATTCTTTTTGGTATTTTTTTCATACCTTGGGTTACATTAACGAAGTTTTCATACGGATCCCTAACTTTTTTGAAAATATTACATAGCCTATGTTCATCAGGGATAATGTAGGATTCTAATGGTGAAAGAATTTTTCAAATCGGTCCAGTAGTTTCGAAGCCTATTCAATTCAAACAAACAAACAAACAAATCTTTCCTCTTTATAATAGTAGTGTAGATGTAGATTTATTTTTAATATAACTCGTTACAATCCAAACATTTGTACTTATAGTTTTTTTAATACATAGATACCTAATTAATAATTTATTTTAAATAATTATTATTCTTATTTTAATAATACGTTGTTTTATCAATTTTTTTTCTTTTTTATGACTAACCAACATAATGACAACACTGAATACACTATCGATAACGCTTATCCACAACAATAATGAGCATCACTATGCTCGCCCCTAAGGCCCGTGAGTGGGAGAGAGAGCGAAATAATCCGATGATTTATGACCCAAACTGCATGCACAAAATAATTCTAGTATAAAATAGTATTACATAACCAGCTAAAGAATTATGAATGTTCTGCGGCTGGGCTAAAACCTTTTCCCTTTTTGGGAGAGGTTTTAAGTATGTAAGTTTTAAGTTAAAATGCTAGTCATTTTGTAGTATATTGCGTCCTATGTCTTTTAAAATATTTTTGTTTTTTTAAAAGCTATATAGCATACGAAGCCATCTACTTCAAAGTGACTTATATTAACGTCAACTAATCAAAATAATTACCCCGACTATAACTAGGTAGAATCATAGCATCACCATCTTGTTCATTGTTGTTACCACCAGCCTTTATATCTTTTTAAAGAATGCACGAGCTGCAATACTTTCCTTGGCCGCTGATACCTTGAACACAGCACATATTTGTTCCACATTTTTTTGTTATCTATCTGAAATATTACATTTGTGAATAACAAACTAATAAATTTCCCATTGTTGAGCATACCGGGAAAAGTTTATTATATGCTCTAGTGCTGAATTGTTGATTTACATATTTTAGATTTATAGTTAATTTGTCATACAAATTTTGAAATAACGAATAACTGGCCTCCAAAACATAAGGGTTCTAAGCTGTGGAAGAATGTTAAAAATCACCGTTACTGTGCTCCAGCCGTTTTTCCAGGTGGTTAAGGACATGTGCATAGTATTTTTCAGTTACTCTGGTGAGAAACTTGGCTGGCTTCAGTTTGAGATTTTTAATTTGTTATACAGTTTTCGATATAACGAACGGCTCCTAAACAAATATGGCTTCTGTGCTATTACGGTAAAATGTTTCAGATCATTTTAAAAGATTATCCACCATATAAACACATTCTCTACAGAATCTGTATTACTTATATCAATACGTCTTTCGCGATAACGTAATATATTCCTGAGTCCACCCAAAAGATTAAAAAAATACTTTATTAAAAAGTATTGAAAGAGTAAAATAATTACACATTGTAAAGTCGGCGCTAAGAGATTGTATAGCAGAATGTGGCGTTGTACAGGATCTCCCGCTGGGCAAGGTGTTCTGCCCGGGGAACGGCCGACGCTCCAATTGGTAGTTCGGAGCTATTCTATATATTAAGCTGCTTTAACTTCAGAACTTTGTTAGTGCGATTTAGGCTTCGATGTTTTTCGCTTGTGGCGCGACGACAGGATGGGAGCTAGGCGATTTTTCCGTCAGGATCCCTTCTGACGTAGTGTAGACGGCGTTGGCGGCTATAAGCAAGCGAGATGGAATAATATCCTTCTCCCTCGCACATTTTTTTCGTATCTTGGCATGAAAGAAGTTTTATTTTATTTTAAATGACGCTTCATTTTAATAGACGCTAGTAATTCATTTATTTGTATTTGTTAATCAATAATATAATACGTTTATAAATAATAATATACTACGAAAGAAACTTCGTATCAACCGAGTGTTCTACGGCACTCACGCATGTTTTTTTATAGAAGTTTTTTTTCTCTTTAGTTTGTTATGTTTATAAATAATAACGTTTATTTATATAATTATAATATAGTATATTTATTTGCACACCATACAAAGCCCAATAGACAATAAATACAAAACTGTTTACTTATTCCACACAGCAGTATTTCAGCTGACGCTTACAATAGGAAAACCTGAGCTGTAAACGTCAGTACTCTTCCAGTGTTACAATATATATGCGTGTGTGTGTGTGCGTGCGTGCGTGCTTGCGCATAAATTACCTGAGCGTACAATATATATTATGTTATGTTATTATTTTTCTCCCAACATAGTTTGTATCTTGATTATGTTCTTAGTTTAAAAGGATGCTATAAATTTTAATTTCACTATGTGTATGTACGTAAATAAGTAAATCATTACTAATATTCCATGATAATGCCGTACTTAACTTCAATTGTTGTCCGTTAATCTCGCTAAAACTCGAAAACGTCTTGACCGATATTGATGTAATTTGTATGTGTGTGCGTGTGCGTGCGTGTGCGTGTGCGTGCGTGTGCGTGTGCGTGTGCGTGTGCGTCTGAATGGTTAAGATTCACAATTGGACCCAATAGGTGGCGCTGTTGTCGAGATCCAGAAATCACCCATGCGAAGCTGGGGCGGATCGCTAGTAGTGAATAAATTAATGTCTTAGTGAAACAAGTACATTTGCAATTTAAATCACAAATCAAAGTACAAAATTCAATTTGTCTTCAATTAAAATATGTGGAAATACAGTCGTTAATGTTAATAATAGCGATTCAAACCAAACGGATCAGTTATGATTGCAGCTAATCAGTTGTAATGCGTGCTGTAAATTGACCGAGCTGCCCGCTCGGCCATAAATTACGTATTTACGTAACATCTACTTACGCCGTTAGAAAGTTGGGAATACATAAACTCAATGTTAACGTGGTAGAGGTACGGTGCAGCTATATTATGGTTGTAGCATGAATTGGTCGGCGCGACTGGGGTAGGACCACGCTCTCACAGAATACCAGCGTAAAATAGCAGCTCAATGCAATGCTGCTGTCTCGTATGATAAGTGTAGAGGACGGGAGACCCTTGTAACTGGAAACGAGGCATTCCATCTTAGTCCAACATAGGGTGACGACGCATCTGTCACAGCATCCACTTACCATCAGGTGAACTGTATGCTCGTTTGTCACCGTTATTTTATAAAAAAAGAAAACTAAAAGTTTAGTTCATTCCAAATAGTATCAACTTTTTTTTATGAGCTTTGGTTGATCAGCATGCCTATGTTGATATCAAAATTATAGTAACTTTGTAGTTCATTGCATGCTATATGTAATAAAGCTTTTATAAGAGCATCACTGATCATAAAACATACGACGCAATGTACTACGAAGTGAATATGTTTGGTGTCAAAAAATGCCTGCTATCGATTACTTTATCTTTTAAATCTCTAAGTGCTCGAGGAAATCAAGTTCGATATATACGTATATAATATTTGCCGTGTAGTTAGCGGCGTAAAGGAATCGGCAGCATGACTCAATTGAGACTAGCCATCAGCACAGGACAGGGTTAAAGTCGCCGTAAGATTGGGCAAGCACAGGGACACTCTCTATTCCTTCACTCGCTACAGTGTAGTGGCGGTTTTCAACTAGAGATGTGCTATGGTACGTTGCTATGGATGCGTTTGATATCTACCAATCATATTCATTTATCCATATAACTTAGCATTGGTGGAACAGGTTCAACTAAGCTATGTTTTTATATGTCGCGTGCTATGGATGGTCGCAAGTGGTGTAGCTATGCGCAGAGCAGAGCTCCCTGTGCCTTCCCTACTGTCGAGACATCGCATAGCTCGAGCTGCGCATCTTCCTCGCACAGCTACAACGCGGCTGTGTATCTTCATAGCACATTTTACTCGGCTCCGCTACATAGCTTAGCATCAGTGGAAACGGTCACGTAG